CTGTGTGAACTTAGAGCTATTTGGAACCTGCAACATCTCTCCTGGAGAATTGACTTAATCTTTGACAATATTGACATTTAAACATTTATTTGAAACAACATGAGTTACTAGGCTTGGCCAGGTTAGGCTCTAACTAAATTGAATTATTTATCCTTCTCATTGAAAGCTTTAAAATTATGGAAGTGGAACCATAATGTAACTAATTAATTTGCACACCAGGACGAAATAGATCTTTGGAGTCAGCATAACTCCAGCTTAAGAATAAGTTAGGCCAAACCTCATATTAAAAGGTCTGTAAGAAATCTCATGGTGTGTGCAGTGGTAGCTGGTTGAACAGTAATGGTACCCAAAATGTATTCATTACATTACCCGGGAACTTGTTAGAAATTCAAATTCTCCAAAAGAAATGAGGTCAGCAACCTGTTTTAACAAGCCCTCCGGGTGATTCTAGTGCATGATAACGTTGGAGAACCACCAGTTATACCGTGGTTGTTTAAACCAACTTGGAGAAAACTCTGATGGCTTACATCAGTCCTATGTTCTTGGCCTCATGCAATTTACTTCCATGCACTAGTTAATACAGTTACTACATTTACAAAGAATATAAACCCAGAGAAGACGGATAGTCAATGAATGACAATTCAAAAATCACAGCAGGCTGAAAGCCCTGAGATTGCAGTTTCAGAAAAATGAACATGACTATAGTAAAGAATATGGATGAATATGTAATAGGAGATGCCAGCTCATGAAGGCCTTTTTATGTCATATGGGGACTTAGAATTTCATCTTGAATGCTATGAAAATACATCAAAGCATTTTGAGAGGAATGAAACTCGGACGTGCATCTATAAAATGGAAGATATAAAACAAGGAATTCCTTGATATTTCATAACCTATGATTCTACATGTAGTAAAATCCTGAGTCAGAATAGGGAGGATGAGGAGCTAAAAAGAGATATGAGCGCAATCTCATGGGAACATGGGAGGATTGCTGGGAGGTGTTGAGTCTGGGTGAGATTAGGTATGGTGATGCTGTTAGCTGGCATGCAGATAGAGGCGGGAGGGCAGGTTGGAGGGGCAGGGGTCAGATGAGTTCAATTTTGAACACGTTAAAATTTGATGTTTCTTACAAAACTCTCTGATGCTAATAGATGACCTCAGCCCTCAAACTTTCATTAGCACTTGGAGGAAAAGAACCACTGAATCCTCTAAATGTCCATGACAGGTGGGCCAAAGTAACTCTGCTCTCAAAAAAGAAAAAAGAAAAAAAGCTGCTCCCAGGAACTACTTAATGGTTAAGCAATGTCAGAACTCCTTCATCCAAATCCAGTTAATAATACCCTTCAATTTCTATCTAATTATATTAGGATTAACACTGATATCACTTTGGTGAGAATTTAGTGATCTAATTCATCTTAATCTGGCCTATCAATTCCAAATTCTGATCACCTTTATCCAAATCCTTCCCTAGCTGTTTTCTCTTTAAAGAAAGCCCTTTTTAATACTTTTATTGATTTCAGAGAGGAAGGGAGAAGAAGAGAGAGGTATAAACATCAATGATGAGAGAGAATCATTGATCAGCTGCCTCCTGCACACCCCCTACTGGGCATCCAGCCCACAACCTGGGCATGTGCCCTGACCAGGACTCGAGCCGTGACCTCCTGGTTTATAGGTTGATGCTCAACCACTGAGCAACACTGGCTGGGCTAAAGCAAGCTCTTGCTATAAGGAATAAAACCTTTCCTCCCCTCAATATGTTAGAAATATGCTCAGAAATATACTCAGCACATTGTAGCCTGCCCAATACCATGAACATTGTGGGCACCCAGCGTTTCTTAGGGATGATGATATACATGTTCAAAGTAACTTCCTTTTTTCATTAGAGAGGAAAAGGAGAAGAAAGACACTGATAGACTCTACACTAATAAAAGAGAAAGATGCAAATTGGCCATACCTTTGCAACACCCACCAGCCAATCAGGAGTGAGTATGCAAATTAACCCAACAAAGATGGCAGGTTAATTTGCATATGCAGGCGCCAAGCAGCCGGGGGTGGGACCATGGCGACGACCCAGGCGTTCTGCAACGCCCCGGCTGCTCCGGGCCTCTGGGCAGTGTGGGAAGGTGGAAAGGCAGTTCTGGGCCTGAGCAAAGGCAGTGCCAGCAGCCAGGGGAAGGAAGGCCCATTCTTGCGTGAATCTTTGTGCATTGGGCCTCTAGTGTGACTATAATGTGAGTGAACAAGTATCATGAATGGTTAGAATGGAGGCCCACGACTATTTTACAGAGAGTTTGCCAATATAAGTTGTCCAAAGAGGAAAGATTACCCAATGACTCTCTGTGGTATATTTCAGTTTTGAAGGGGTGTGTGTGTGTGTGTGTGTGTGTGTGTATAGAAGTGTACTTGAGTGAGGAAGTGAGATGCCTCGCGGGGAGGCTATACTGAGAAGGAAATAGTAAACTAGTCTCTGACAGTCAAGGAGATGACTGCCCCACAACAGCATGCCAGGATGGAGGAGTGAGGACACAGATGATTCAGGTGAGCTGGACTGTAATTAGATTGCATGGAGTCAAGTCATCAAACAGGAATTCATACACAAAGAGCAATGACACACATGCCACACTCCTCCTCCAAAGATGACCTGCATCAATCAGGGAGCCTTAGTCTCTCAGATACTAGAATGTCTGGGTTTTGAAGTCCTCTCTTTCCCCTAGTCCCAGGCCTCCTTCCCAATTCTCTTGGAACCTTAGAGACTTGGTATTTTTCCAAGAGAGCAGAGAAAAAACAAGAAAGATTCCAGGGTAAAACATTTAAAGACATAGAGAATAAAAAACATGACATGCATGACGGTGATTTATTTCAGCCTGGGTGTATGTGTGTGTTGAGGAGGCAGGAGAGGAGGGAGGGGTGACACTTGTAAGTAACTTCAACTGTAAGGTTCCTGTTCCAGTTTTTGAACTGGGCATTAGGTACATTTCAATGAGCTGGAATATTTCATACTTTTCAAAAAGATGTCTAAAAGGAAAGAGGAACCGAAAGATCATGTTGTCTATGTCCCTGCGTCTACCTGGTAAAAGACAGGCGCTCTTCTTAACTATTTCGACTTTATTATAAACTGAAAAACTGTCAATTCACAAACAAGACTGTGCCTGCTATCACTGTGAGGTTAATGCTCACAAGTCAATTCATTTTTTATTTTTACTTTTTAGCAAATGTTCGAATTACACACCTATGAAGCTGGATCAACTTCAGTGACTTCACCCATGGGTGTAACTCTAGTTGCATTGAACTCCTCAGTAGGAGGTGCCCTTCCTCTTTCGTTAGTATTGTGACATCATACATGTTTGAATGACACATCATGAAGAGAGGTCATTGCCCTTAAATCAGCTCAGCCATCCATATCCTGCTGACTGGGTACTGGTTTTCTCTGGGGTTCCTCAACCTCCTTCCTCCTCACTAGTCCTGCCCCACCTCGTCTCTCTACCTTGGCTCCAGGATCACTGCGCTTCTCATTTCCCACCCAATTATGATCATAGAAAGAGAAAAGATGAAAGCCATGTGTCATCTTGTGATGAAAGATATGAATAGTGACAAGACAGAAATGAGATGGGAAAGGATGAACCTAATGGCTAGAATTAGACCTGCAAATTATCCGAGTATTTCATGCTTCCTACTTAGGATTTTCTCCTAAGTCGAGGCTGACTGGCATCATACTGGTACGTGGCAAGTTTGCCGTCATGGCGCCTAAATTGAAATCTCTGTTCTGCCACCTTCTAGCTACATGATCTTGGACAAGTTATTTAACCTCCCTGTAAGGTTTGGATATTAACAGCATCTACCTTTTGAAGTTGAAATGAAGATGAGATGAAAGGATGGATGAAAATGCTTAGCACAGCACAGTACCTAATGCCCAGCAACAGCTTAATAAATGTTGGCAATTATTATGGGCATTGATTTTAATTTTCCTTCCTGTCCTTTTGACACTGAGGAAAACCTATGTCCAGGAAAGATCAGCCTCCAGGCAAAAATCACAAGTGGTAAAAGTAGCCTCCATACTTGGAGGGAGATTTCTTCCTGAAAGTACCGGATTCTTCCACCTACTCTCTTCTCCCTGCTTCTTCTGATTACCTACAGGTGCCAAAAATCCGCCATGGAAGGATTCAGGTGTTGCTAACCTGGTGGGTAACTTATTTTGTTTTTATTTATTAATGGTTATTGCTACCTTCCATGAACAGCTAAGAGACCAGAGACCCAACGACAACGAGCATGTTTTCTCCATTGAGGCTGTCCAGGCACTTTTGCAGCAGGGAACTCTCCAGAGAGAAAATTGTTTCGTTTCCCCGCAGAAAGAAATGAGGCCAAGAAGGCCCTTGGCAATTT